TATTAAAAAAAAAAAACAAAAAAAAACAGAAAGAAAATAATTAGCTTATCGTAAGACGATAAACAAAATTCTTTTTATTTTTTTTATCTCTCTCTATTAGCGATACAATTTTAAATGATAATTATTTTAATTAATTAATTAATGTTTCTTATTATTTTTTTTTTTTTTTCAAACACGAAGAAGTTCGTGATCCCACAAGAGAGAGAAAAAAAAGAGAACAATTGTTTAACGATAAAATAGAGAGAAATGACATAAGATATTTTATATGATAAAGACCCATAAAACATCCAAGGATAATTCGAAAAGATCTCGTACGAAAGATAATTTGAATGACGAACTGGAGAGATGACTATCTCAAAATAGCATCATCATTCTTCTTCTTCTTCCTTCCGTTCGAGTTATGCATTCGTATAATTTTAATTCGAATTCGATAAGAAATTTTGATCGAATTCAAATTGATCGATAAAAAAGAAGAAGGCAACGAAGAAGAAAAGAAAAAGAGAACTTACGATGTCCTGTGTTGGATAATCGCAGGGGAATACAAATAAATAAATACAAATAAATAAATATAAATAAATATATATATGTATACATATATATATAAAAGAGAGAAAGAAAAAAGATTTCCAGGAGATACTTAAATCCTAAATGCATGCATGCATACATGCATGCATATATGCGTGTGTGCTCTTGGGTGCATACATGCATATTTTGTATATCGAGATGAATGCAAATAATTTCAATGTTCTCGTTCGCATTGGACAATTGTTTCAAATCTTTTACCGATTGAAAATTATGCTCGAAATAAAATTCAAAATAAAATCAAATAAAAAAAACCCTTTATCGTGTTATTCGATCTAGAAGAATAAACCATTATTATTTTAGTTGTAATCACCTCTCTCCCCCCCCCCCGAAGTATTTATAATTCCAATCGCGGTATCCCAAATATTCAACGTATTCTTGTTTAAAAAGAAAAAATAAAAAAAGTAAAATGCATTTGAGCGTGAAATTTCATTCGATTTGATTCGGTCTAAAAGAAGAAATAGAAAAAGAAAAAGAAAAAACGATTGTAATGTATATGAAAAGGGGTTTCATTAGGTCAGGTCAAGGAATAATGCGTCGTTTGACTTGCAAACGGACGTGTTTGACCCATACGTGTTGGATACCCATACAAAAGTACATAAGTTATCTCTTTTTTTTTCTTGTCTTGTCTTCTTTTATTTTATTTTATTTGATTTTATTTGATTTTATTTTATTTTATTTTTTGAATTTTAAACGAGCATCACAAATTTCTTTTACATTTAATTAACATATTATTTCAATCGATCATAATTATAATAGTAGTTTGAATAAATATTTGAAATAAGATTTTAAATGGTGATTGAAATCTTTCGAGTAAAATGATTAGACGTACTTTTCTTTTCTTCTTCTTCTTCTTTTTTTTAATTTCTTTTTTACAACTTAACAATGACGTACGCGAAACGTATCAAAACTTTCTTTCTTCGTCTATTATTACACGTAATTCTCCGTTATCGGTACTTAAGAAAAATAAAAAATAAAATACGTGAAGAAATGTCTGTGAACGGGCGCTCACATGCACATACAAACACATATATAGAGTTACAAGTAAAACTGATAACGTAACGTGAGAAAGGAAGTGTCCTATCGTATTGGCGATGACCCTCTCTCTCTCTCTCTCTCTCTCTCTCTCTCTCTTTCTCTCTTTCTTTCTTTCTTTCTCACTTCGTGCTAATGTAAGTAATTTTTTTTCAAACTAAAAATAAGTTCGACTTCGTCATGGATAATAGAGACCTGTGTTTCAATATTTTAATATATATATATATATATATATATATAATTTGTTGTTTGTGTTATCTTTGTCGGATATTACACACCAGGTAATTTACACGCAACATTTATGGACATTTCATTATACCATTATTTATTTTATTACTTCGTTAAATAACTTTTGCTCGAAACATTTTACTTAAATGTTATTTTAAAAGTTTTGTACAAGTCTTTTTTTTTTTTTTTCTTTCTAAAGACTTGTTAAACACAACTTATGTGTAACATTTCTTTCTTGTTTCTATATCTATAAGCAGATTATGATTTATATTATATACGTATAGATGAAGATGAAGAAGAAGAAGAAGAAGACAAAAAATATGTTTGAAATTGAAAGTGAAGGAAGTTTAATAACGTTAGCAGATGGTACTGCTGAATATCCAGACACGAGCTGTGTCAACAGAGACTGTAATCAAATATCTTATGGTATCATGCACACGTAACGATCATCCCACATATATAATGTAATAAGGACAAATATACACATACATTTCTTTTTTTTGTCTTTCTTTTACTTTCTCTTTTTTTTTCTTCTAAGTATAGAGAAATGATTAGTGTCATTACTTTTCGACGATTATCAAAAAGTAAAAGAAGAAGAAGAAGAAGAGTTGCTAACGAATAGAAGTAAATTGAAAAATGATCAATGATTTTTTTGTTTAAATAAATTAATGATTATTTTTCTCTTCATAAGGGAGACACAGGTTTTAAAAATTTATTTTTTGTAAAAAATACAAACCCTCAATTAGAAGTTTAGAAAAGAAAAGAAAAGAAAAAAAGAAGGAGTAAAGAATATCAAAAATTTGTGAATATCAAATTTGTGGAAACACCTTTGGACCTTTTATTATTTTGTTGTAAAAGGAAATTCTTTGAAATTTACCAAACGTTTGACGTCACTACTTCTTCTTATTCTTATTCTTCTTATTCGACACAGTAGAAGACGACTTAAAGTTTTATAAACGACAGAAAACATAAACGTTTATGCGTAGAACGTATAGGAATCGCGATAGCATTCGAGCGAGGTAATAATAATCGGTGAGAGCGTCACAATGACTTGTAGAAAACGGCATTGTTATTTAAATATTATACCTCACGTATGATAACACTCCACCGATATATTTTCTATACCGTTTTGTACTTTTATTATTTCCTTTTTATGCTTCCCTTTTTTTTTCTTTATTTCTTTCTTTCTTTCTATTCTGTTCTTTTCTTTTCTTTTCTTTTCTTTTCTTTTTTTTTCT